CATACAAGGACTTCTTCAATTTGCACACAATACCTGGTGTGTCAACTTGTAAGCCTTGTGGTACATCTATATATACTTCTTCATGCAAATCTCCATGTAGGAAGGCATTATTTACATTTAATTGGAAAAGATCCTATCCTTTCTTCACAGCTACACTTATCAATGTTCTAACAATTGTCATTTTGACAACAGGGGAGAAGGTCTCTGTGTAATCTATCCCTGCTTGTTGTGTATAACCTTTAACTATAAGCTTTGCTTTGAACCTTTCTATGCTACCATCTGCTTTGTGCTTGATCTTGTACAACCATTTGCACCCTATGGTCTTCTTTCCTGCAGGAAAAACTACTAGATCCCAGGTATGATTAGCATATAAGGCCTCAAATTCTTGTGTCATAGCTGCTTGCGAAGCAGGGTTTATGACTGCCTCCTCATATGAACATGGTTCACTGTCATCAGAAATGTTCCTCATAACCTGTTGACTATTATGACACAATGTGTGGAGTGAAATCTGTTGGTTCTTGGAAAAGAAAGAATTGAGTGTATGTGTGTGTTGATGTTGTGATTGGTTTTTCAGTGTTGGAAGGGAGCAAACATAGTCATTTAAGTAAGAGGGTGGATTATGCAACCTTGAGGATTTCCTAGGTTCTGGTAATGTGGTAGGAGAATTAGAAGGAGGATTAGGGATATCATTGGTGGCAGTGTCTAGATTGGTTGTTGTTTGTGGCTCATGTGTGTGCACAGTGGATATGTCTTGTAGAGAGGAATCTGCAATAGGGTCAACAGATACAGGAGAATTAGTGACAGAATGGTGAATATGGTTCCTATCCTGCAAGTGACAGTTATTCAATGCATCAGTTTGATTATGATCTTCTACAAAGGGGACCTGATTTGGTGCACAACTTGGACTAGAAGTTATTAATTTTAAGATAGAGGGAAAAGTAGAATGATTAGGAGAAATGGAAAATGGAAAAATGTGTTCAAGAAATTGTACATCCCTGGAAATGTGTATCCTTTTACTAGACAGATCAAGTACCTTGTAACCCTTTGATGCAAAGGGGTATCCTACAAATATGTGTGGGCTAGCTCTTGGTTCATACTTGTCTTTATGAGATTTAAGAATGGTAGGATAGCATAGGCACCCAAAGCTCCATAAATGGGAATATACAGGTTTCCTTTTGTAAAGAATTTCAAATGGGCATTTGTTGTTCAAAACTGAAGAGGGGAGTCTATTTATTAAGTATGTTGCAGTTAGGATGCACTCTCCCCAATACCTCAAGGGTAATTTTGACTGGTACAGTAAGGCTCTTGCTGTATCTAAAAGATATTTATGTTTCCTTTCAACTACACCATTTTGCTGTGGTGTATAGGGACATGTTCTTTGATGGATAATTCCTTTATTTTGGAAGAATGTTGAGGCTTCATTACTGGTGAATTCTAGTCCATTTTCAGACCTAATGGCTTTGATTGATACTTGTAATTGGTTCTCAATCATGTAGACAAAACCTTTGATTGCCTCAAGTGCATTGCTCTTAGAGCTCAATAACTGTGTCCAAGTGGATCTGCTACAGTCATCCACTATAGTTAAGAAATACTTGTAGTTGTCATGTGTAGCAAGGTGGTAAGGCCCCTAAAGGTCTACATGTAGCAGATCAAAAATTTGGGTAGAGGATATGGTCCTTTGTGGAAAGGGAAGTCTGCCATGTCTAGCCATAGGGCAAATTGAACAAAGAAAAGGCTGCTTAGGCGCAAAATTGATTGGTATGGAATGGATCCCCCTCATTTTCACAAAAGGTACATGGCCTAATCTATTATGCCACAAGTAATCAACACAATTTTCATGATTTGAAACAGATAAGGAACTGGAAATATTTGAACAAGCTCTTTTATTATGTGAATGATAGGTATTTACAGTGGGAAAAGAAGGCGACTTAAATGCTTGCACAGAATCAGAAAGATTACTTAGACTCTCACTAGTACAGACTGTTTTATTGTTTGACTGGCAGCTATTTACAATTGGAGATGTGGATGATGAGCCAGTCTACACAATTCTAGTATCATGACATGAATTAGAAGTACCACAACTGAAAGAAGAGGCTGAGTTGGCTGATTGGCACTCTGAGGAGAGAAAATACAGACCATTCCTTGCTCTACCAATCTTCAGAGGCCTCTTCACTGAAGGGGCCTGCAATATACATGTTTAGGCAGAAAAATTAACAATGGACTTGAGTTGTAATGTCAAGGAATGAATAGAAACTAGATTGAATCTGAAGCTAGGAACAAACAACACCCTGTATAAAGTCAGCCTTGGAGTAAGAACTACATCACCTATTTTATGTCACTTTAACCCTGTAACCATTTGGAAGGGTAACTAAGAAGGGATATGGTAAAACTCTAGTGTTGGTGAATAAATTCTTGTTATAGGACATGTGATTTGATGCACCAGAATCCAAAATCCAAAAATTAGCAGGTAAATATGAACATTTATATGAAAGATCACCAATGATTTCATCATAAGTACAGCAAGCCAATATACCTGCAAAGTTTACAACTCCACTTATGATGTTGTTTGAGGTCTCAGCTACAGTTCCAATGTGAAGTTTCTCCAATAGGTTGAGCAACTGATTGTATTGGTCCTTAGTCAGGTTTGGTGCAGTTTGAGGTTGATTTTGTCCTTTACTCTCAGCTACATCATGTTCTCCAGTAGGAAATTCTTAAAGTCCTCGATGAACATTTGCTGCGGATGCTACATTTCTACCTCTTGTGAACTTGAAATTCTGCGGGAAACCATGTAATTTGTAACACTTGTCCTTGGTGTGGCCTGACCTTTTACAGTAGTCACAGAACAGACGTGGACCTTTGTACCCTGATCTGTTGGAATTATTTCCTGTGTTGTTTGTCATTTGATTGTAATTCGTTCTGAAACCACTGTTTGGTTGTCCATGAACATTCATTGAAACAGATTCTAAGCTTCACTGACTGTGTAGCCTAACTTCACGTTGTTTTTCCTCCTGAACTAAAATAGAGAATGCTTGGGGTATTGTGGGCAGTGGATTCATCATTAAGATACTTCCTCCCACTACAGTGTATACCTCATTCAAACCCATCAGAAATTGAATTAGCCTCTTGTCTTGCTCTGCCTTATGCATATTTGCCTTTGCTCCACAGATGCATTGGCAATTGCACTGAGTATTGGCATTCAACGTGTGCAATTCCTCCCAAAGTTTCTTCATCTTTGTGTAATAACCAGTAATGTCTAGTGAGGCTTGAGTTAAATCATTAACTTCCTTTTGAAGTTGATACATTTTTGCTTCATTGGTCTGGTCATATCTATCTTCCAATTCCTGCTAAAGTTCCTTTGCATCATTTACATATTGCAGGCTATCTTCTATATCCTTCGAAAGTGAGTTCAAAATCCATGAGGTGACCATATCGTCGCACCTTTCCCACTGTCCATAACTTGCAGAGTCAGAATTAGGCTTCTTACACTTGCCATTAATGAATCCAATTTTGTTCTTCACAGATAAGGCTCGTAGAACTCCTCTTCTCCAGGATCTATATCCTATTCCATCAAAAGGCATTGGTACCAAACTTGATCCGGCATTTTCTGATGGATGTATGTATAGATGATTATTGAAATCCATAACTTCTCTCACCAAATTTGGCGTCTCAGTGACTGGATCGGCGATGTTATCTTCTCCGGCCATGTCTTGAAGAATTGGAAAATTGAAGATGGGGGAAAACTATACTCCAATGAGAATCGAAGATTGAGCTACAACCAAAAACGAGTTGAAGCGAGAGATCGATGCAATCGAAGATTGATCTAAACAGAAAATTGAGCTGAAACAAGAAATCGATGCAAAAGTTAGAAGAATTGATCTCTAGATTTAGAAATAAACCTAAATTTGGTCGAATTGATAAAAATTGCTTGAACTCGTGAAATTAATGCGCAATCTCAAATCAGAATTGAAGCGGAAGAACAGAAAATCAGAATTGAGGTGGAAGAACAGAGCCTCGCTCTGATACCATGTTAAGAACTGAAGCTATAGGGAGTCGACTCCATTGGAGATGATGCTCCAAGCTGAAGAAGAGAACATTCTAGATTGATGAGAAGGAAAAATGGGAAATGCAAAGTAATCTCTATTGACTGTATCGGATACAATATACACACATTGACAGCTCATCAGTTAGTGGAAGCTCCGCTATAACTAACTAACTAACAAGTACAATTAACTAACTAATGAACTTGCTAACCAACTTATTAAGCTAACTAACAAACCTGCTCTAACACTAACTAACTAACAAGTACAAGTACATAAATATACTCAATCAATCTTAACAACCTAAAGTCCTTTTATTTAATTAGTTTAACAAGAAGCTCAATACTTTTTGGTCAAACACTTATAACATACGGTGTCATTTTCCTAATATTGTTTGCTTCCCTATAGTCTATACACATGCTTAACTTCTTTTAGCATTTCAGCTTTACCCGAAATAAGTTTAGTAATTATTTAGTCTATTTTTAATCAAATGAAACGGTTATAATATTTGAGGACCTTGATGATACTTTCTAAACAAAACTGTTTTTCAAAATTAATTCTTCTATAAATAAATTCAATTAAACACATTACTTTTCAAAAGTCAAATTCAAACGCCACCTAAAATACTAGCAGCCTTGTATAGTTGTACCATATATATAACCTTAGGCATGGACCATTTTTAGTAGTAGGTACACCATATGATACACGTGGATTCCAGAGATTTCAGAATATCTACTCATTTGGAGTAGAATGGTAAGAAAGTCACATTGAACTTTTTATCGCAATTTTTTATGCAACTCGAATATTACAAGTGCCACAAATTCAATTTTGAATATCTTTTTTTTAAAAAAGAAAATAGAGTAAGAGCAAAAAAAGTTTGTAAACTGAATATTTTTCTTATAAATGGGTCCATCCGACGTAAATCCAGATAAATATATGGTAATTGATTTCAAATATATCGAATTCAGGTGAAAAATACATATTCTTCTTTATATTTTAGTGTAATAAAGTTTGAAAGTTGTTACATGAAATGAAAGATGCAACAAAAAAAGAAAAAGGGCTTTTTAAAAATCCTACAATGTTATTAATCTTCTGGAGTTTCAACTCTTTTTCCTATTACATGTGAATTACATCTTGAGTGGTATGTGAAAATGTCACTTTGAGCAGGTTCCAGCTAGATCGACATTCATAGTTATCCAAGGGTGCTCCATGATTTTTTGAAGAGAGAGCCTTTTTGAAGACTCCTTCACAAGAAGCTGCAAAGGGTAAAGGTAAGCCATCAGAAAGGAGTGCAGCTATTGCATGCCATTGTTTCTTCTTACAGGAATAAAGCATAGACAAGTACTAATCAATTTACCTGGCTAATAAGATTCTTAGCTTCAGCAGACACATCAGGTGTTGAAGGGAAGCTGAGGTCTACCTTCATAATTCTATATTCCTCTATGTTAGTATATCTTGATTTTTCATTAGCAATTACAAGATGACAAGGCAGAGCAATCCTTACCTTTTGAATGTGTCAGTCTGTTTTTCGGCCTCAAATGGAGGCACACCATATAAAAACTCATAACAAAGGATCCCCAGTGTCCAATTGTCAACTGCATAATCATGAGCTTTGTTCTCCACCATTTCTGGTGCTAGATAATCCAGAGTTCCGCACATTGTATGTCTCTTGCTTCTAGATTGTACAGACCACCCAAAGTCTGCAATCTTCAAGTGGCCCTACATTTCATGTGATAATCTCATTAATATTTTACTCTTGCTATATTGATTTTAGCTGCAGTTGTTGGACAATCGAATCCAGTTTTAGTTGGGACGCCCATAAAAAAACTTTCCAATATGTTAGCTAGACCATACTAAGCGCTTCATTCACCTAGAGAATACTTTCTTCGTCCTGACTGTCATGATCTTAGTTAACTAGTCATAGGAAAATGAACATTTGAATCTGCTATTATAGCAGGCATTTTCTTTTCTTTTTTTCCCTTTTGAATGGGCTAAAATACATCAAACAAGATGAGATAGATGTAGTAAACTCAAACGGTGTTGCAAGCTCCAGAATGTCGAATCGATGTAGAACTGAAGGTCACACATTCACAACCATAGCCAAAAATCATACGTGGTAAAGAATCAGAGGTCACTATTTTACTTGAGCCTAGTTGTGGAGTACATGAGGTGCTATCAAAAGAATTCTATATAATGGTAGCCAGATAGCATAGAAAAGAAGATTATGGCTTTTGGCACGAAATCCTACAAAGCGACATTTCCTGCCTTGTCGATCAAGTGAAAATGCAATCACAAAAAGATAGGCGATGATATATTGGAAACAAGACTGAACAGAAGAAGAGCTTCTGAAGATAGGCAATGAAATATTGCTTTAAATGCTTCAAAAAGACTTCTCCTGGTAATTAATTCAAACCAAAATTCCATGTCAATTGATGGCTTAATGCTGCAAAAACATGATTAAGGCTATGCTTCTTCTACTGGTCGATCTTCAGCTCTGGAGAGCATTATGAATGGTATTCTAAGATGTAATTGTATGTACATCTCTAGCGAAGTGTTTAGGGTCTTAACCATTGGAAAAATTCAGGGAGTTTAATTATTTTGTTATCCACAGTTGCAAGAAACAACTCAACAAAATGAAAGTAGGTTATCTACACAATCTCCAGCTTTAGAATTCGGCAACTAAAGGCATTCTGAGCTGTTAAAAAAGAATTTAGGAACAAGAGGTAACACCGAGAACTTCCTTGTATTCCACTGTTGTCTCAAAACAAACATAGGAAACTAAAGTAGATTTGTACTTTGCTTCTCAAAAGTTAATTTGTATTTCACTGTTGCCAAATGAAAGGTGACTGTTCAAACTGTTTTCTCCAGTAAAAACACAAATATAACTTTCAAATTAGCCATGTATAACATTTTCTTTTTCTTGCTCTAGGAAATGGTGTTAACAAAACTTGGCACCCGTGGCAAAGGAAGACCGTTAGTTATCAAGATATTACCTCATGATCAAGTAACAGGTTTTCTGGCTTTATGTCCCTGTGAATGACATGCTTCTCATGACAATACGCCAGTGCTTGTGTGAGACTTGCAATATACTACATGAAAACCAATCAAAGTATCAAAAGTCATAGACCTAACCTAAAGAAACAAGAAAGAAGTCAACAACTAATAATAACATTTACAGAAATGTAATTATGTGTTCGACTATCATAAAAATGATTTTCAAATAGATGTGGAGTCACAAAACGACGAGTGTGAAAAATTAATACTCCCTCCATTCCAATTTATGTGAACCTGTTTGACTGGGCACGAAGTTTAAGAAAAAATAAAGACTTTTGAAATTTGTGGTCCTAAACAAGTTAAAAAGGGGTCCAGTGTATTTGTGTGGTTATAAAAGCTTCTCATTAACGGTAGAATAGCTAAATTGTTACCAAATTTAGAAAGGGGTCATTCTTTTTGGAACGGACCAAAAAAGAAATAGGTTCACATAAACTGGAACGGAGGGAGTATTAATTCACTGTTCAACATTAACCTAAGAGGAAATAACATAAGCAAGGCACGGAAAAGAAAAAACATAAATTGATACGAAAGTCAACCTAAAACAGTGCCATCTTTCAAGGAACTACTAGAAGTTCATATGGTCATACATTACATGGCATAAAATAGACAAGGAAAGCACTGAATCTCTATCCTCTTTGTTTGGGTTAGGAGGAGAGTGAATCAGTTCTTATTGAAACAACTTATAGCTCACAATTAAACAACGAAACTACGCTCCGATCCCAAGCTAGTTAAGGCAGCAATATGAATCCCCGCTTTCCATTTCCAACCATTTGGACCCGTCTCATTCCACAACAATAGCAACAACAAATATGCCTCAGTCTCAAACTAGTTGAGGTCAACTATATGAATCCTCACTAACAACCTTATTCCAACAACCTTATTCCAGTTAAAGTTTTAAACTCATCTCTTACCAATATTATGTAAACACAGATGAAAGTATTTTCTAAACGTATAATTCTCTGAAAGGCTAAACTACTCCTAGAAAGCATGGGTGATGGGACCTATAATGAAGAGCTAACGTCTAAAACATATTCTCAACTACTATGTATCGCCTAATTCCAAAATTCAGTAATCTGGAGTTCTCTAACACTAAAGGTTATTAATATATGCTTATTCCAAATTAAATAAAGTATAGAAATAAATCATAACAGCAAACAATATGTGTGTTTTTTTGTCAAAATTCTATGAATGGGATAAGACATACCATGGCGGCCTGTTTCTCAGGCAGGCGACCAGTCTTCCTGAGCTCCCTGTAGAGCTCACCGTGGTGAGCGTACTCCAAAATCAAGTAAATCCGCTCCTCGTCATGGAACCAGCCATATAGCCTCAGTACATTCGGGTGGCGAAGACTTGTTTGAATCTCCATCTCCCTTCTCAGTTGGTGATGCAACCTGTATTTCTCTATTTGCTCCTTGAATATCACCTTCAATGCCACTATAAACCCACTCTGCTATACAAAATTCAAGTTCACCAAAACCCGCTACTCTTTACTAAAGAAACATATAATTCATATATGTATAAACGAGTATATATATAGAGAAAAAATATAAAAATTCCAATTACCTTGATTTCTCGGGCAAGGTATACACGACCGAATTTGCCTTTGCCAAGGGGTTTTCCGATCTCGAAATCCTGGAGGGACCATTGCTTACTGGGAGTTTTTGGTGGTTGTTTTGTGGGTTTCGGAGGGTGAATTTGAGTTTTGGTAGCCATTTTTGCAAGTGCTTGGGGAAGACGGGATCTGTAATTCAGTTTAATCTGTGGAGGGAAATAGGGATTTCAAATTTGTAACTGTTGCCGCGCTGCTAAGGCGAATCGGGTACAACCCATTTATGTTACTTCATCGATTTTTCTTTTCTTTTCTATTATTATTTCCAAATTTATTTTTCTTTTGACTGATTTTCTCAAATAGCCATTTTTACGCTACTCTTTATATATATATATATATATATATATATATATATATATATATATATGCGCTTCACATCGGGAAGAAAATGAATACCGATTCGAATCTTTTGAGCTTCCTCCCAAAACATTGCTTTCATCGTAGTTGCATCTTAAATCAATAATCAAACATTTAGAATGCCTTAGCTAATTCAAAAATTAATTACGCAGTTAGCTTATTGAAAAAACATATGCAAGTTCGGATCGCACTTAGAATAATCCGAAATGCCAAAGCCAAAATGAAAATGACAAACTCAGACATTATGTAGTCACTTGAGAAATAAGAATGATTTATTGCAAGATCAGTTTCTGCATTTAAATATGTTATAACTTTCATGAAAGATACAAAAATTTATAATAATCACTTAAAGGATTTATTTCTGAATAAGACCTTCAGCAATATTTGCCATTAGTACAAGATCTAGTTGTTTCCTACTCCTATCTAATAATTCAGGTGTGGTCTTGCCACCAAATGCACTCTGACAGTCATTCACAAATTTGGGACACTTGGAAAGTGAATTTTCTAAGGCATTAAAATCTCTTTTCGGTAATGATTGAGTAGCGCTTTGGAGCTCAGTAATTAAGAATCCATAGCCAATATCACAAATAGCAAACAAGTTTTGGATGTCTTTATCTTTGGAACTGGCTTTTGATGTCTCTATAAAGATACGATTGTTGGTAGCATGTTGTAATGATTGGCTAATAGCAACTTGCGTTACTAGAGTAGGAGTATATGGATGAGTCGGTATATTTTGTCTCAAAGTATTTAAGCAAAAGGTAGAATCTTGTACTTGTCTACATATACCCATTATCAATGCCTGGTCAGCAGCGTCTTCACATAGAGAGGTTTGGAAGTAGAAAATGTTTGCAACAAGCACTAGAAGAAGAAAATACAGAGCAAAAGAAGAAGCCATTTTCTCTAAATAATTTCAATGTGAATTTTTGAAGTGAAAACAAGTGGGCATATAAAGGCATGCCATGTAAAGTAAAATAGGAATGAGCTAAAATGTCCAATTTTATATAAATCATCTACTGCAAGTATCTACAGCATGTATGGAAAGATGTTAATTTTTTTCCTTCCTTGCATCACAGTTATAAATAAATTAACTAAAAGGTGCAATCTGCAATATTAGATCATAATGTTGATGCTAAGTTGATATATAGTAGTTACTTTAATATTTTTCACCTAGTGCTATGGAAGATGTGTTAGATTTTCTTATCACCCTGTTTCAATTACTATGTGAATGTAATTAAATGAACTTCAGTTAATGTAATATTTTCATGTGCAAATATTGTATTAGATAAATATTTACTCCAATATGCATCAACTTAGCAGTATATTTACGAAAAAACGTATGCAGATAGTTTTACATGAAAAGATATATGCATGTTTGAATCGTACTTGCTATAATCCCAATATACTTTATCATATAATTGTAAGAAAGCGCATTATGCACAGATATGACGATGGGGCGGCTCGATATATTTTGTGGCCTAAAGCCAAATATGAATATGAGGCCTTTTTCTATAATTTCTATCTTAATTCAATATATTTTTAAAGAAAAAGAAAGAAAAATTAACCCAAATCGCCACCCACTTATACTCTTAAATAAAAATTAGCTGGTGGATGTATAATATATATATATATATATATATATATATATATATATATATATATATATATATAAAATTGTGTATTGTCAATGTATAATCTATGTATATTAGCTAGAAAAGGTAAACATTGAATCTGACTGACTATTTGTATAACAATCCCCATACATCAAATTCCTGCAATTATAACTATTACTGAAATATGGGGCCCTCAAAAATTGGGGCCTAAGGCACTTGCTTTAATGGCTTGTGCATTAGAGTCGGCCCTAGGGGCGGGATGGGGCGGGGCAGGCCGCGACGAGTTTTGCCTTAACCCACAAAGTTTCAAACCCCATCCCGCATATAGCATTCTCACCCGCATCAATACCCGCCCCGCATCAACACCCGCATCCACCCGCCCCACTATGCAAAATTTTCCCTTTATTATTTCTTTCAATTTATAATATTTTATTTTATTTTCGATTATATTCATATATGCACTGCAAATCTAAAAGTTCCTATTGGAATCCTAATTGCGCTGTCCATTTTAATTTTTAACAGTGTTCGGCTTTAAAGTTTTTAATATACTTATTTTTTATTTTACATGCATCAGTATTGGTATTCAGTTTGATATATCAGTATATCATTTTTAATGATTCAGATGTATCGTGCAAGGTAATGAGATCAGATACATAAAAATTGAGTCAACTAATTATCTACTTGACTCACATAAAGTAACTATATAGTTAAAGTGGGACTTTAAAATACTAAAAAAAATATAATATACTATTTGTTGAATTTGACAAGATTAATGTGAACTAGTATGAACATTTGAAGCCTTTTTTTGGAAGAAATTGGTAGATGTATTTTTCATGCATTTACATTGCATGATCATACTTAATATGATGTCATGCATGACATTATTAAGGCATTCCCTTCTATAAATAGCAAGGGTTTTGTCCATTTGAAAACATCTCTCACTTGACTTCTTATCTCCTAAGGCATTTGAATCTTCTTTCTCTCTTGTAGTATTTCACTTGTATTTTTGGAGTGAAATAAAATTTGAGTTGATTGTCTCCGAGGACTAGGCAAAAATCAAATTTTGCTGAACCTCATTAATTTCTGGTGTTCCTTTTATTATTGTCTCATTTACTATTTATTAACTACCTTTAGATATAGTAGTTGTGATTTAATCACTCTCTATATATTCGGCTTCCGCAATAATTGGTACCAGAGCCAAGGTTCTATCTTAGTATGCTCTTTGGTTGCAGCATGGTCTGAACTTCCACATCAGAAAAGAATTACTTTGGTGTTCTGTAGTGTCAGCAAATAAATAGTATCTATAGCAAAAATGGGAGATAATAAAAATGAAGTGTCCACATCGGGTGTCAGTAATACGTCTTTGGCATCTTCGCTTATGACAAGAATTATGTCAAATGCTAAATTTGCAGTTGAGATTTTTGACGGGTCAGTACATTTCGGGATGTGGCAAGCTGAGGTTCTTGATGTCCTTTTTCAACAAGGGCTAGATATTGCCACAGAAGAAAAGAAACCAGATAATATCGGAGAAGGAGATTGGAAGATTATCAACCGTGTTGCTTGTGGTACCATTCGATCTTACCTCGCAAGAGAACAGAAGTATCCATACACAAAAGAAACTTCTGCAAGTAAATTGTGGAATGCATTGGAGGATAAATTCTTAAAGAAAAACAGTCAAACTAAACTTTACATGAAAAAAGACTATTACGCTTCACATATGTTCCTGGTACTACAATGAATGATCATATCACTAGCTTCAATAAGTTGGCGACAGATTTGCAGAATATGGACGTGACATTTAGTGATGGAGATATAGCCTTAATGTTATAAAGTTCACTTCTCGATGAGTACGAGCACCTCGAAACTACTCTACTTCATGGGAATGATGAAGTATCTCTCAAAGAAGTTTGTTCTGCCTTGTACAACTATGAACAAAGAAAGAGAGAAAAACAAAAGAGTGGAGAAGGAGAAGCATTGGTCGTGAGAGGTCGTTCTCAAAATCATATGAGAACGAAGAAAGGAAGATCCAAGTCAAGATTTAGACCCAAAAAAGACGAATGCGCCTTTTGCCAAGAAAAGGGGCACTGGAAGAAAGACTGTCCAAAGTTGAAAAACAAGGCCAAACCTAACAATGGGAAGGCTGTCATGGATTCAAATGTAGATGATCGTGACGACTCTGATTTCTCACTAGTTACAACTGATCCATTCAAACCATGTGACATATGGTTGCTGGATTCCGCTTGTAGGTATCATATGTGTCCCAACCGGGACTGGTTCGTCAATTTTCAAGAAGGAGAATGTGGAGTTATTTACACCGCAAATAACAATCCTCTTACTGCATATGGTATTGGTTCAATCCCATTAAGTGTTGATACCCAATTGTTCCTCATATTTTAAGTATATATACATATACTTTCAAAATAGTGTATATGCATCATCATTTGATTTATAAGCATAAATAAATATTCTTACAATTTTTTATAATTTTAAAGGCTTTAAACCAATTTATTCTTGTATTTTTATTATATAAATATTCAATAATTATCCTTCAATTTATTTTTATGATGATTTAATCATCTAAATTATCATTTATACCCACATAATATTTAAATATTTTTCAGTACATTTTTATAATTACATTTGCATTTTTCAAGGCTAAATTACACATCTTTGCAATAACAGCCCATATTAATGTATAATTACATTATTTATGCAAAAAATGACTTTTTATATTTTTTTAATGTTAAGTTATTAATTTTAATCATTTTAGTGCACAAATAATGATTTCCATTTTTTAATTATTTTATAAATTATTTCTTGCTAAATGTTGGGTATTTAAATAATAGCCCAAATTTTACCCATTTTTTTGGACCTAAACTACCCAAACCCCAGCCTAATAACTCCTAGACCCAATCCTACCTGTCCAAACCGACCCAGACCCCTTAAATCACAGTCGTTGATCAAAATGATCAACGACTCACAACCCCAACCCCTCTTCTCTTATAACCCGACCCCCTAAACCCTAGAGACATTGTCTCTTATCCGCCGCCCCTGAATGCTCTATAACCCTTGCGCCGTCACCTGTTACCCCCTTCGATTCCAACCTAAAATGGAATCAATTGATGATTCCCTTACCTTGTTGACCCCCTCTCACTCCTGGTTACTCGCTTATGGTGTTACATAATTGCTTGCTTAACATAGTGATGTTTTATACTTCAATACCACACAAGAAGGGGGGG